ACTTGACCGAGCCGCTGACGGGGAACGGCGAGGCGGGCGTGCCGATGACGGAAGCCTCGGTGTTGAAACTCACCTTCTGCTCCCCTGAAGAGTCAGAACAGGAAGGAAAACCTCAATTAAACTTCCGTCTACAAGAAACGAACACGGTACCCTCTCCGGTAGGCCTAACCTTCTGGAAAGTTTAAGAAGACAATGAAAGTGGAGGTGCATGTTGGCAGTCCCACCTGAGAATGGATTTGGTTGAAGTATTCAAATCCCGCAAACGATCCACCGAAAACGATATAGCCAAACCATTTCTTGGTGATTACGGCCATAAATGGTTTTTAGCTGGTAAAACTAGTCTCACCACGCTACCCACTGGGAATCTGGACAGACCAGTTGGCCTTGGCCACGGCCTGGTCTTTCATCTTGTGAACTGTAATTTCTGTGAACAGAGTGATGATAAGGGACAAAACCTCCTCACAAGACACCAGGAAATGGCAACTTTTCAACCTTTCAAGCATTTTGTCGAGCATGAGCGCTGAGATATCTCTTTAAACATACAGCCACTCCATTTATAAATGCAGCTTGTCCAAACTCTGTAAGATGTGTCATAATACCGACACGGGAAACCCGAAACACTGAGGAAAAAAAATGGGATTTCAGGAACAGCTTGCCCCAGCTCAGAAAATGCTGAAAAATGTCATCTACCCCAAAACTTTGTAAAAAAACTTCACTAGCAATCATGAACATGTGCCTGACAAGTCCGAGTGTTGCATCTCAAGTTTTAAAAACCTGTCTGCAGTAGGCATCTTTACTTAAAGCAGAACTAAACAGTTTGCATGAACAATCTCTTAACAAGCAAAATCAATCGGAAACTGTCACAGCATTCTTCACAGTTAACACTCACAACGGCTTGTATTATCATGTTCACTCAAGAAAAGTACCGGTCCTAGTTTGCAATAGACAAGGGCTGAAGTCTTTACCCTTTTCTGAGCCAAAGAAAGTTTTCCCGCAGCAAGCATTGTGCCAATCTATGTTACATTCTGACATCTGACCGACTTACAGAAGTTTGGTGCCCACATAAACCTCTTGGAGTACTGTGCTCCGCGGACGAATGGCTTCAGAGTCAGCAGGGCCTTCTTGGCCACTTTGTACCTGAAACGGGCAAAATCAATCATTTTATTGACCGAGGTACTGTATGTTCTCTGAAACAAAGACAAAGACTGGACTCTTTTCAAGTTTGCTTTGAACATTAGACACTGCCCAATGGCTTTTAAGTCATGGCTAAAGCCATGGTTTCAGAAATTGCCTTGTTTCATGAGCTGCAAATGAGTTTAAAAAAGCAAAGTCATTTGAGAACAAAGCACGTGACATCACGTGAGCTCAGACATGTTCACAGACAGCCGCAGTGATAAGCGAACAGCGTGAGTGCACTTTGATGTTCTCAAATGACCTACGATGTCTTCCATCTTGAGCATGCACTGTTCTGTTGAAATACTAAACTGGCTCGTTGGGCTACTGAAAGTTATCCTGGGTACTTGCGACTTACAAGTTCTTCTTGCACTTCTGGTAGTTGGAGGCCAGACTCTCCAGGTGAGTGTAGACAAAACTAGCCACCTGCTTGGACTTGTCATTCTTCAGGTGGGTGATGACGGAGAAGACGATGTCTGTCTCGGGCTCAGTGTCCATGATGATGACGTAGGCGGCGATGCGGACCTGGTGGTCTTCATCCATGTTCTTGACCAGGGACATCAGAAGAGGCACAATCTGGGGTACAGATGGCACAGGAAACAAAACTAAGAACGCTGAAGACCCTCAAGATGGCACTCATGCAATACATCCGGAGATGGACTATGACAACAACTGACATCAATGTAACACTTGCACTGGGGTGTGCAGCACAAACTCCATCAGTTTGTCTAATAATTATTAGAAACGAAAATATCTGACCAGATGCTGCAAAATGAATCTTAAGGCCGCATTCCCAGTTATTCTCAGTAAACTGAGTTCCCTGTTCTGACATATTAATCAGTTTGGTATCCTAATGAAATGTTCATTAAGTGGATGAAAACTACCAAGGGTTCCTAGTGATTAACACTGTGACAGATTATTTCAAAGGCATTTAACTCAACGGTGGTTCCGGTGACTTGCAACTCCTTTTGTTTGGATGAGGTAGATGTATTAAGTAAGAAATTAAACAAGATTCCATCTATGAACGTTTAATCCAATGTATGATTAATGCTTACTTAAAGGAAAGGGGAGGAGCTAAGCAAATTACAGGGGCGGGGCCCACACACTTACTCTCTCTGGCACAACCTTAGCCAGGCGACGCAGGGAGTAGATGGCCTGCACGCGCAGGTCCACATCTTCCACGTTCGAATTGACGATCTCTGCAATGTGATCGATGGAGTCCGTCTCGGCATCAGTGGTCTTCTTCATGACCAGGCCAGTGTTGCCGATGGCCTTGAGGCACATACGCTTGTCCTCTTCGGGCCGTGAGGGGTCAATGCCGGCGAGAAGGTTCTGTTGAAGGGAACAATGTTTAGAATTGAAAGGTTAGAGAGGCAAATTTAAACCTGTACCTTCTCAGGAACATGCAAAGTACTCTTGTCAGTGGTCTTGACACTGCCCACTGCAATGATTTGCAAAAGGCTACCTTTAAATGACTAGGCTGTATCCAAGAATGACACACTTTCAAGAGGAAATGGCCACAGCCATTAGCAAGTATAACCGATAGCCGGATATTTTATCGCTTGTCATAGTCAAGAAATTAAAGATATAATGTAATAACCCAAGCAGTAAATCCTCTCAATTCTAGACAGGGACATGGAGGAGAACAGAAGTAGCCAAAGCGGGGGCCGAGAGATGATACAAGCTCTTACCATTGAATATTCTTGTTTCTTGTCCTCGGAGCAGATCTGGTTGACCTTGCAAGCCTTGTGGACCAAAGAGCCAAAGCTCAGCCAGCATGTCTTCCTCACTTGCTGGTCAGCGTTGGGTCCGTTGACCACAGGGCCCCGGCACTGACCCTGAGGGAGACAAGGAGGAGCGATGAAATGGGGGTACAATTCCCAGAGCAAATCATTGGGAGCATGCCTGCGAAACCCACCTGTCTTTTCACCGTGCTATCAGTACTAGCCAAGGAAAGAGTTTTTCAACAAAACGTTTTGATAAACAGAAAGAACTACCCGTTCTACCCAAGGACTTTCCCTCATCACATCACCTACCAGGACATGATCCAGGATCTCCTCTGTCGGTTCATTGATCAGGGCGATGGTGCTCAGGATCTGACAGGCCTCCTCGCCCTCCACGCTCCTCTTGCCGATCTCACTTGTCAAGATCTCCACGGACTTGTCGTTCTCCACCTGGATGAGGGCATCCAGGAGAATTTGCCTGCCGAAAAGGAAAAGCGTATATCAGCGCAGGAAGCGTGTGTGTGCCTGTGCAGCTAACAGACTCTGCCCACTCTAAAGGACACCATGGGCAGACATTCAAAGCAAATCCTCTATTTGTCCAGCAATGATATGAATACCTTATGGCTTTGTGCACATGCAAACGAAAATCAGTAGTGTATACCTTAAGCTATATATGCAGGTATACATGTATTGAGGTACTTCTAGGACAAGACAAAGAGAACAAAAGGTTTTGGTATGTCATTGATAGTAGTACCTTTATCCTATACAATTCCCTGTTGCAATTTCCCGCATTTAGTCTGCCGGACAGCATTATCTTCCAGGAACAAAAGAAGGAATGATACTTTGACCTCTACGCTTATGTGAAACACAAATGTGCATTCATTTTAATACACTGCATTGCCCCACTGTACTTCAAGCTCTAATGAACATTTACAGAGCTGTAGGAATTCTGTGCCGTCCCATTTCTCTGATAAATGAGACATTGATGCGTGAGCCATTTGGTGCTCGGAAAAGAGGATGAATGGTGCCAGTACAAAAAAAAAGAGTGTACAGGACAGAGGGGGGTAACACAGAAATGTGGACATGGGGCGACTGTTGGGGAGTAACTTACTTCCTTTCTTTCACCTCCTTGGAGTCACTGACAAACTTCTTGCCGAGCCTGTCAAAGATGTTCTGGAGCTCCAGGGGGCTGAACTTTTTCAGCTTCTTGACCAGGAGGATGAAGTTCTTGGGAGCTTCTTCGGTGATCCGGTCCTTCTTGATGTTGTCTTGGATTTTCTGGAGGTAGGTCTTCACCTAGAGCAGGTGATGAGCTTGACCGTCAAAAAACTGGTGCAGGCAGGATAAACTTATGACGGAAGTAATGAGGTGGACTCTTTGAATCTTGTGAAATATTGTTTTCACGTCCAACTGGAACTTCGCTTAGTGGTTTATGAAGATAAACTGGCAAGGTAAATTTACTTAAATTAAAGTTCCCTTGGGCTTCTTTTAGGCATTAGGATCATCAGTCTTTGAAAGTGGCTGTTTGAGCATTACCTTGGTACGGATCTGACGCATGTGGGTTCCATCTTCTTCAGTCAGCTCACGCTCCTCTTCCGAGTCATGCTCGTGCTTCTTCCATGCCTCAAAGACAAACGTCAGGTCCTCTGCTTGGTCCTTGGGGTTCTCGACGTCCGGAATGAACTCGTCTTGTATCTCTCTGGTGCTCTTCAGGATGAAAGTTTGACTGAGAAGAAACAAACAGGAAGTTTGTGAAAATGTGGTTATCTCTTTCCTGCTGGTTTTGATATTTCAAGCAACTTTTGTTTTTTGTCAGAACGAAATTCATGGAAGGGGTTCAGCCTTCTGACAACTAATGTGCCCGAAAGGGTAGATTTTTTAAAGTAACCTACTGGTGCTGAAAAGCTTAAGAGGAGAGGTTTGTTTTCAACAAATCCTAGGTTCAGCATCAAAAGAGCTGTACCTTATATACTGTCAATTTCAAAAATCGAAAACTGCATCAACGGCTTACTTGACAAATGCGACAGCCTTCCCACCCTTCTGTCCAAATGGCTGGAAGATGTGCTTGCCTTCGGCCACAACGGCGTCAATGACAAACTTGTTGTGGTCCTTGAGGCTGATGCTGTAACGGACCTACAAAGAGCATTGACAATGACCTCTGAAAAAGGTAAACTCATGCACAGCAGAGGGATACCTAAGTGCTTACAGTTGACATGGATTTTCTTCTGAGCATCAAAAAATAATTCTTGCACGATTTAAAAAAGCGTTTCGCTACATTTGCTACAATACAATAACTGATAGTGGCAGAATGATTTCGAAAATGGTGGGAACAATACACTAGCTAGGCAAAAAATACACTGGCAAAAGTACTTTTGACGTTTACCCAAGTATAGAACCGAGAGAATGCTAGTTTGGGACCTGGTGACGGTGGATGAGCCATGTCCCCTCCCCAGTGCAAAAATGGTGGTGGTGGGTGTGAGTTTGTTTCTGCATTCAACTGGGGACCTTGAACAATAGAGGACAATAAGGTCCCCGATTGACAGAGGGTCCCCGATTGACAACTGTGTACAAAACATATGGCTGGTACAAGTACAAGTACAAACAAAAGAGGAACAATAGGGGGTCCCCAGTTGCAGGCAAATACACACTTGGGTGAGTGTGCAGGTGTGTCATACATAGTGTGGACCTCTTCACACCCCCCCCCATTGACTATATGTAAGGGTATCATAGGAAATTCTAAAGCCAGATACTGTGACTGTGATGAGTACGGCTCTGTGCACATAACTCTGCTTGAGATGACACTATGTGCTCCAAGAAGGGATGTCAGATGATTCTAGGGTTCATTCGATGGCTTGCCAATCAGAGGTGACAGATTTCATGTGAGGCATTTTGATCTTCCTACATAACACTCCCATTCGTGAGATTCTATCCGTTTAGAATTCAGTCAGATTTGTCTGGTGGCTTTAATATGCCAACAATCAGCAGCTTCAAGGCTCAAGTTATTATCCACAATATTCTATTAATAGCACTAGGAGCATCTTGTGCGGGTGTTTGCCAAAGATAAAAACCCAAGAAACAAAAACAAAATAAACAACAAAAACTACACAGATCTGTCTACCCCAGCAAATGCGAAATGCAAATTAATTGAAGAAAGAAGGAAAAGCAAGACAGAAACATAGATAAAGCCAATGGAGCAGGAGGAGGAAAGTGGTTCAATTCCTACATACCTGGCTGAGGCACTTCAAGAGCTCCTCCTTCTTCTCATTGGGTTTTCGGAACTCGCTGAAGGGCTCTGGGGCAGGGCTGGTCTCCTGGCCCTTACATTTCTCACACCTTCTACTGGAGAGCAAGGACAGCTTGCTGCGCTGGGTGCGCTGCTGGCATTCCAGGAGGTCCCGAGTCTTGGTGATGTTCAGGACAAAGCGTTTGGCTGTCGAGACACAAAATATGTAAGGAAAGGTAAGAAAATGTCTGTTTATTTCTGTGAGTCATAATGTAACGCTGACTTTTTAAAGGTGACAGTCTGCCAAAAGTGGTGACAGATGGGGTAGGGACACCTGAAAGAAGGTGAGGTTTATACAGCCCCCAGGCCCTCTTAGTAAATGAATCAACTAATAAGGAATAACGACAAGAACTATAACTGTTGAAAACTGTGTGAGGGAAAAGTTAGGATAAAGAAAAAAGGAATCTTTGCTATTCCATTATAAAACTTGGTAAGTTGGAATGCGACTAAGCATGCATGTGCTGCTGAGATGGTCATGTCTTCTATCCACCCTGAGTTGAAGTGCACCCTCACTGACAAACGAAAGATAGCCCAGTAGGAAGTTTTTCAACTGAGCTCATGCGCGTGCCCAGTGCACATGTGAAGACCAGCATAGATTGGTTGCACATACTCAGAGCACCCCTTGCCAAAGGCAGGAGATCTTGTGCGTGCACACGGTGATCACCCATCCAGGGACTGATGTTTCCATGTTAAAAAAAAAGCCTTCTCTTGTTCAAAGTAAAGCCAGACATCAGATATAAATAGATTTTCAGGTATCTTTTAAGACTACATTCGGGTCAATGTTGCATGTCGGCCCGGATTTTCACTTTCTGACCGGTGAGGGGGTGCTGATGCATACAGTCTACAGCCCGAGGTAAGCACATCGAGTGCATTTCTTCCCACCGATATGGGGTAATTTCACAGACCGGTAATAACGACCCCTGGGGAAACTTACGCTGGACTTCCTTGTCGATGATATCAGGCACGAGGTCTGAGATTTTGACGTTATATACAGACTCACAATAGCCAGCGATGCCTCTCTGAAAAAAAAAATTAAAACTGAAAACTTGTCACCATAAACAGTGAAAAACCCTCCACTGTACTTACAACGTAAAATAATTAACAAGAACATTTTTACTTTGCCTTCAATGCCTTTCACAAGATCAAATTATCTTGTTTCACATTCATTTACGCAATGCGACATCTTATGCCACAGTACACTCTCATAATTTCTTCTTCAAATGCTTACGGTCCATGTAACGTTTGCTTCATTTCAGTCATTTCACATTGATTTGAATGGATAGACTCACCTCCATCACACGGTAGTGTTCCTTCTGGTGGAGAATGTTGCTCTGTAACAGCAATGATGTGCATTAAATCAGAAAGGAACAGCCTTTTAAATCACAACTTAAGTTCACAAATTGAAGAGCTTGTTTTGTTCAAGTCTCAATCTGTTCCTGGGGAAAATATGAATCACTGAATAAATAAATTTTGTATATTTTATAGATCAATAAACTGTTGATCTACACTATTGAGTTCAGTCTTAAAAGCTCCACATTACGGTAATTCAACCATCATCTTCCTACACAAACATTTTTCTATCCAGTAGTGCAGTTGTTGTTGAGTCCGTTGTAAGTCCCTCCAAGTCCATCACAAGTCATTCAGTCTTAAAGTCACAAGCCGTTCAAATGAACTCTGACAAAATGCAATCCTTTGCCCTTGTTCAACTTGCTACTTGTGACTGGACTCAACTACGACACTGTCCAGTAATCAAAGAATTGAACAATTGGTGGATCAATGATCAATCAACTCATCAAATCATAAGTTGGACTTCTTACACACAAGATCCCAGTGATTGACATACAATTAATCACTCAACAGAGTACACATGAATTTCAGCCGGTCAATTATCAAATTAAAAAAAAAAAATCAATCAACCTGACGAACTACTAAGCTCCCCATTCCAACTCACAGGCTGTGTGCGCTGTGTTTCAGGCTCGTTCAAGTCATCTGTGCCCTGGATGTTGACAAGCATCAGTTCCAACACACCCTTCTTGATATTGGAGGCCCAGACAGGCTCATTCTGAGAGATCACGATGTGGAAAACCTACAATTTTGCAAAGAAAAGAGCGTCACAATGTATTAGTTTATAGAATAAATAATCCAAGTTTTGACCAAAATGTTGCAGAGTTTAGAAAAGGCCAATACATGTAGCTGTTATCAATATGCACTGAAATTCTAGGCTATCAATACTGGACAAAGTCATTGTGAGAAATGAGCTAACTACATATGGTGAAATTCATACTTGTGGTTTTTTTTTCCTGACGTGAAACACTAACAGAAGCAGTGTTGCTCATACGTAATCTTCTTCCAAGTCTGAAGTTTTGCCCAAAATGTTAGAAAACTAACATATGAACTTGAACCTTGAAGATTTTTCAATACGACAAACGCCTTTTGAAAATGTAGAATTTTTTTCTACAACACATTAAGTGACCTGTGCCCTGAATCTCCAAACACCAACCTTTCCGTTGAAGTATCTAAATTCAATCGGTTTGACCAGCTGCTCCAGGAGAGGCGTTTCAATCTCCTGCTGCAGACGCTGCAGTTTGTCCACAGTCAGCTGCTTAGCTGGGTCCTCAGTCTCTGTCTGAATCTTGGCCAATTGAACTTGTTCAAACTGTTCAATATAAAAATGACAAAATGAAACTCTTGAGACAAACAAACCTTAAAAGTTAAATCTTAGAGGGTCTGATATTGCAATCCAAATAGAGTAATCACACAAAATAGTTGACCCTCAAGGTTCAGTAAAAAAAATTAAAATGATTTTTTGTCTTAGTTTCATTTCTTGACCGTGCCCTCTTCTTTCTCATTAAAACCCTAAATGCAAAAGAGCCCAACGATTTACTGATTTGGTGTACTGGCAATCAGAGAGGACATGTACATGAATATTTACAGAAAACGGGTACCAAAGATACCAATTTTTTTATTCAACTAAGACAGAAAGTCTGGTCGAAGTTGCAATTTTATTAACTTAATGCTGACTTGTAGAGTGGGAAGCATTCTCAGCCTTTTCTTTTTCCTCGAAAAAAAAAAGTTACTTACTTTGAAAAATTGTTTTCTTCAAAACGGATTAACTCGGAAGGAATCACAGAATGAACTTTACCCTCAGCAGGCATTTGTTGTCAGCCATCATCTGAATCCGCACATCCGTGGTGATCTTGATGCCTGCCACTTCTTTACTGACCCCTGGGATCCCGCTGACCACCTGTCCTTCATAATGGTACACGTACTCGCGCCCTGCCGCAAAGTACCCTGAGAAGAAAGGGGGGGGGGGGGAATTTTCAAGAAAATGGTAAGACTGGTTTGGGCCTCAAATACAGAAAAATACGCCAAGAATATCAGGGCGACTATACTTGCTTGTAATTGGGAAAGAGTTCTAAATACAGACGCCAGTAATTACTCCCTACAGTGACTCATCAGCCGTCAAAAAGCAAAAACATATCCAGAAAAGTTCATTTTAGGAGGGAAAATATGAAGTCGTTTACTTAGAGAACGCTAAGAATTTTTCTGACCAGTCTCACAGGGTTTGTGCACAGGGTGTCAAGTGGCGTTTGTAACTCTTTCTCACAACTGTGATACACATCACCAGAAGTGCAACATTTTCAGATTACCGACACAAATGAATTCTTCCATGCGATGATGAAAACCTAAGTGGACTCAGTGCTATAAACTGGTTCCTCGTGTCATTTTGCTGCCAATTCAAGTGTTTGTGACTTGTGATTGAGATATTCCAAAGCCTTACATAGTTAGGCCTAGCCCCATGCGTAGGGTTGTGGTGTGTGGCTCTCTCTTGAAATCTGTCTCTTTTCGATGACAACAGAAAAGATACAGATTTCAAGAGAGCCATAAGCCTTATTGCAAATACTGCATGGGTGGAAAGGCGATGCCTTGTGCAAAATCACCCATGCAGTACGCCTTTCTACCATTGTGCAAAATCACCCATGCAGTATTTGCGACAAGGCTTATCCACAGCCCTGCGGATAAGCCTACAAGAAGTATTGAAGTACTAGGCCTATGTCTATGATGACAGACATCAACTTTTTTTCATGGAGAAATCTTTGAGAAGTTTATGGGCCAAAGGGCGAGAAAACTGGCCTGACGGTTTATTTGCGCCTGACATGCCTGTCAAGGTCTCAGTCAGTG